TGTATATATATATATATATATATATATATATATATATATATATATATATATTCAATAAGTAATGACCGGACTACATGATGTGCTAGTCTTCAGTGTCTAGACACAACTGTCGCTGAACTTATTCCGATATACCTTCAATCGACAAAAAGAAGGGAAAAACCGGCACGGAGCCAAAGTCAAAACAAACTCTCATGTTAAATATGTGCGCAAAGGGAAACTCTCAATCCAACCTGATAATCACCCACATCTACTATCCTGCAGCAAGAATCACGTGCGCACCAAAGGTAAAACCACAAACTACGAAGAAATTTTTTTAAGTGGTCGAGTAGTTTAAATCGCTGCTATTGGTAAGTACTGGACTCCAAGGTTAATGATTCAAAATTTGCCAGTGGTTCACCCTCCTACTTTGATGACAGGCGGTTTAGTACAACGCAATAACACACCCTTCCGGTTGAGACTGCGTGATTTTCTACTCCAGGTCTCAGATTACCGATTCACGAAAATGGACAGCTCATTTACCGGACCATGTGGTTCACTTGCTCTACCATTCATTACTTTTTCATGACACACCTAAGTGTGATAAACAGCAGACGAGGAAAGCCCCATTGTCACGATGATCTGCTGTTCAGGGATAGAAACCGGTGGCCCGGAACTTGGAGTGACGAACTACATAAGGCCCCGATTGGTTAGGTGTGTTATTCAACCGGACGATAGCAGAGCTGCCTACCACTAAAGTCGGGTGGCGGTGGCGGGGCTCGAACCTCGAACCACAAGGTCCAAAGCACGCCGGTGACAACGACTAAGTCACTTTGTGGCGTGCAATAATGACACTGTCACGTGATTTGATTGCATCTAACCAGTTGCGTCGGCGTTAAGTGAACAAACGAGAAATCAACGGAATCCAGTACACAATCACCCAATTAAGAAACAAAGGATGCGTGCATTTTGACATGCATCGTGTGGCTGAAAATACGGTCGAATTTTTTTTAATAATAAATCATTATTTTTCTCAGATTTTCACTATTGCGTTCTGTTGGCTCCACGAGAAATTTGAAATTCTGAAGAAGAGCAGAGCTTACGGAGTTGGGATGCGAGATTAAGAAACATAGGTTTGTAGGACTGTAGTTGAGTAAATTTGTATGTACGATTTAGATTACTTCAAACGAATTCGCGCCGGACTTTACCGAAGTACGGTAACCAAATCCCAGATATGGTGGTAATATCCTGAGGTGAACCAGATCTGGGACAAGCTTAGTCGTTGTAAGGTAGCTCTGATTAATCAAATGCTGCACTTTCGTAGATACCACTGCATCAATAATATTTTTCGATTTTGGGGGATAGAGTAAATCTCAAACTAGACCAACAAAAGGAAAGGTGTACGGTCCAACACCCAGACAATATGGTAACTAGGCTGTTATGATCAACAGCATTTTGATAGTTGAACTGGAGTGCACAGTTGATGAAAAACAAGAATCACGATGAACATTATCGAAAACCACTTGCTTTCCATCATCTGAATTCACTCACCTCTTCCATATGTTTAAAACGTTTCATAACTTTCCCCGTCTCACAATTAATGAGACACACACATTCGCCACCACAGGTAGCCACCACATGAGTGGTCTCTTCCGGACGTAAGGGATTCGGTTCAAACAAACAACGCCACACTTTCGTTTCACTGTCGCCGGCGTCATTATCCTTTGCATGACAGCGAATAAAGTGCAGCGGGTCATAGTCGATGGGGGTAGCATCAGAACGAGGACCACCGCCAATACCGGCACCGACTGAGCCGTAGGCATCTGCACCAAACGCGGATTCCGAGCACAGGTCGCGCAGGCTCCTACACCGGAATCAAAAGTGTAAAACAGTAATGATATGGAATGAGCGAATACGGAAATGAAGTACAAAATAACATGAGAACATGTAGACACAGAATCTAAACACAGTTCGACGCGATGGAACCGTCATTCTTCTCTGTAAAGTTTATGTGAACATCGACCCAAATTTGATGGGTCGGTCTCAGATCTTAGGTCTTAGGTCTGCGTGAATATGCTAGATAAATTGCGAAATCATGAAGGTTGCAAGAATGGAAACTAAAACGGCGGTGTGTAGCCGATTCAATCCTCTAATTCGAAGTTCATAAGATTCTCTTGTTAAATAGCTGGAAATAGTAGGAGGGCGTCGTGAGTAGTAGTGGCAGTACAGCTGCTCAATTTCGATACACCTCTGGCTCTTTTTATATTTCCTTTGGTTTCAATTTATTCCTTTTTCCGCCTAACCAGAAGACTCAAGCACAACATTGTGTAAACTGGACTGAACTCAACCATACGATGCCAACAACATGTGGCACAGTTGCCTACTGCATTCGAATTTTCTCTAAACCTTTCTGTGTCCACTCGCCATGTAACTTATGTACAAACCAGTAAATTGGTAATCAGCTTATAGCAATGCTTCAAATTGTGCGATGTGGAAAATTCATCATTCTTGTCTGATCAACCAGAAGAGGAAGAGAAAATGTTTTGTGGATATCGGGACTAGTTCAACTGGAAATCGGGCGATTCCATATACCACATCGGCCCACAGTTAGTTATTAAAAATGTTTTATTGTCTTTAAAAATGCATGGGAGATATGAACTATCACTATTTGGGATGCAACTATTTAGGATGCAACTTGATCGAAACCCTTCTCGAGCGATATTAAACAGATCATCTTATTTGGAGTGGATTGTCATGAACCAACCTGTGTGCACCCATTGCTTTTCGTTTCTTCGGACGGGGAGGAACTGCTGTTGAGGCAGAAAGTCCGTGCTGATCCTCGTCCATTTCATAATCACCTTTTGCATGACGTCCACCTCCGACTGTTCCTCTCGCGCCGCCACCAGCTGCAGAGATTCCCTTCTTGGTAGACCCACTCAAGTCTGTGTTTACCTCTCCCAATGGAACAAGACCAGATCCAGGAGAACTGGGCCAACCCGAAGTATCTGCTCGTTTCGGACGAGCAACTCCCGGCTTTCTATTAGCATAAAAAGTGAGGAATAGGCATAATATTAAAACACAAGGGGACTACACGATTAAAAAATCTAAGGAGAGATCAGATTCTGTACTTATTCAAGGTATATTCCAGCTCCTTTGACCAACACAGGAAGCACCATTTCTATAATATATATATATATTACCATAAGTAGTATCCGAGTGACTCGACAGTACATAATTATACATACCAATCTTGGCAAATACGATAAGAAAGTACCCATGAGATAAAAGAACCTACAGAAACAGAAAAACAGCACAAAAATAATTCACATCGGGTAGGCGTTGAAAACCACTTTTTGTTTATTTACTACACGCAATTTCGACTTATTTTTATCTTTGCACGAGAACCTACCTTAACACCAAGTGTATTGATCTCTGTAACTTCGTCACACTTGTTACTTGATTTGAAGCAGACCGGTCGCGTACCTTGGTCAAACATCTTTAGTCCAATGTGTTGCTTATTCTTAGAGTTTTATGAATCCAATCACGATTCCTGAACTTGGTGAAGGTCGTTCGCTTGAATTGTGACATAAACCTTTTTGCAAACTTTACATGTGAACATCGATTAACACATACAATATTATAGAAAGAAGAAAAAATAAAAGAATTCACTTGAAAATATCCATGCATGTGCATACTTTATTCGAGAGAGAAACACTTCCCGACTGAAAACAACTGAACAGAAGATAAAAAGCAGAAGATTTACTCACTTTTTAGGTGTGGCTTTCTGACCTAGTGTGTCTTTTACCGCTTTCTTGTAAATCTCAGAAGCCATATAGCCCTTCACATAATCCTTGTTGCGCAACTCGCCCGGCAGAAACTCTGCTACTGGACGACCACTCACACCACGTGGGCGCACAATGGTCATCACAACCGAACGACCTTGACGTAAAGAGCGAGCCAAATGGAATTGGTTGGTGCCCGAAGAGGCAGCTGTGGCCAACTGATAACCCGCAGCTGCAGTAGGGGCCACCACGATTTGTTGTTGCTGATGTAAACGGCCCATGGAGTCCATGACTAGAGTGGTTTGAACTTGACCGGCAGCAGCCGCTGCTTGTATGAAACTAAGCGGATCGGGTAGATTGACCCCCAACAGTTCATCTGTGGCCTCAAACAGAGCGCGTTCGGCTAGGGTAGGAGGACGGTGATGGGAATAGATGAAAAAATGATACAAAAAGATACAAACCTAAAACATTTGTGAAATGAAGTCCATTTCATTTATAAATTATGTAAGCTGCACATAGTTGGAATGTTATTAGGCATTTCAAAGGCGAAACCATGAGGCAGTGATCTTCATTCACATGATCAAGTTGTGTCCAAAGAAATGATGTATAATGCAATCCACTAATTTCCACCAATACTCCAGCCAAATATCTTTATCAGATCAAAGTTACTGGTCTGGGTCGTACTCTCAACAGAAAAAAATTTGAGGAGGAATACTCCCTAATCCGCTAAACTCTAAGGTAATCAGTGTTAGTTTCAATTTGTGCGATTTTCAGTTTCAGTTTGTACAACCATTAACCACGCATATTCGTGCGCCGGTTTTGGTTGCTGTCTTTCGGCTGCCAATTTGGGTGAAGAATAGGAGAAGATAGGAAAGTTGAGAGTGGAGTCGAACAGAAAATGGAGAAGTTCAGTGGTCTAAGGTTGCAAAGAAATTGAGAAGATGCATGAACGGCACTGTTTAGGAC